CGTGGCCGTGGCCGTGGCCGTGGCCGTGGTTGTCGCCCTCGGGAACAAGGGACTGAAGAGCCGATCGTTCAGGCCCGGGCTAAGCGGCGCCGCTCAGTGGGCACAGTGCGCACAGCTCCGGGCCCAGAGGCCCAGCCCGTGCCCGTGGATAAACCCTCCACGGACAGCCCTGCACCCCCGAGCCCCGGGTGCCTGTATCCTTCGAGGGCTTCCGGGTGCTGCTGTACCCCTGACTTCCAATTCTTGGGGCCCCCATTGGATCCCGATGAACCGATGCACCCTGGCCCGTGCCTGCGCTCTCTGGGCTGTATTACAGCCGACTTCCCGGACACCGTCTCACCAACTCCTCGCAGCGTCCTTGGGATCCCGAGATCGTTCCCCACTGACGCTGCTGGAAACGGCAAGGCCCCCGTGAACCTCTTGGAGGTTGTAAGGATGGATCACTCTTACGCCTGCATGGTCCCCGCCCCCACCAAAGTTGCCAACATCTCTTTGACCCCTGACTGATCCCCTGGAGCTAAAGCTGGAGGTGGCTGCATCTCTGGAGTCCTGGGGCATGTTCACCACCAATGGACAGTCTTCAGTCTTTGAGCCTATGACCCATGAAGATTTATCCAAACATGACTGTGTCTGACCCTCAGCCCTGGGAACCACAGAACCTGCCAGCCAAGCAAGAATCTGGGCTGGGCCTGTCCACAGTCAAGATGCTTTGAAATGACACATTTCTTAAGCTGCCAGATGTTTCTACTACTATGAAAACCTGGGCTCCCAGTTGCCACTGAAGTGGACCTCCCCATGAACAGCTGCCATGGAATGCTGTGGCACCTCTCAGGGAGTCTCAGCCCACTCCTAGATGCTACGGAGACTGCCTTTTCAAAGAAAAAAATAAAAATATATATATATTGACTTCAGAGAGAGGAAGGGAGGGAGAGAGAGAGAGACATCAATAATGAGAGATTCATTGATCAGCTGCCTCCTGCATGCTCCCTACTGGGGATCGAGCCTGCAACCCGGCCATGTACCCTGACCGGGAATCAAACTGTGATCTCCTGGGTCACAGGTCAATGCTCAACCGCTGAGCCAGGCAACTCTGCTTGTTTTGATACCACCTTCAGGATACCTCCTCTGCCGTGGTGCCTTGATAAGGGGAACGTCCTGAGATGTTCTAAATTAAATTACAGCAGGAGGAAATTGAGAGAGAGAGAGAGAGAGAGAGAGAACTGTTAGCCTGTTAATGGCTGGGAGCCAGCTAATGAAAGACTGCTAACATTCCTGTGGATGCCTTTGGAACTTTGGATTAATTTCCAGGTGACTAGTGCTGCAGATTATTTTAGCCAGGCACCATCTAACTCCAGGAACCGCCACTTGTTTACACACGGGCTTTCTGGACTACTGCCCACAGCCGGTCTACAGGAGCGGACATTTCTTCATTTGGATTCTGTGCCTATCCCAGAGCTGGCCTCACTTTACCTTCTCTCACCCCTTTGCCTATGGCTCATCTAAATTTCTTTCAGACTCTCTCTTTCTCCCCTCTCCCCCTTACTTGATGTATAAAAACGCTTGCAAAACTCTGGGACAATGGGCATATAGTCTTTTCTAGCAAGACAGGTCTTGCTTTTGGCTAGTATTTTGGTTCAATAAAACCTTACTTGCAAAAAAGACTTTCAGCTGTGGAAGTAAAATATATATACTTTTTGTTGTTTAATAGCCTCTAGCCTCCACAATTATTTGTGGGCAACATTGGGTGATTCTGAGAACTTAGCTGAGCCCTTTTATCCCCAAGTCATATCTGAGCCTCTGAGTCACTGACCCAAGTTCCACCGGACATTGCTACAGCCACCACTGAGCCCACCTGCAGCTCTGACACACCCTCCGTCCCAGGGCTCTGCTCGGCCCCTGCCCATGCTGAAACTAGACCGTTTACCCAATGAGTCTGTCAGCCAGGGATGTTTATCATTTTACTGACGTTTTATTAAAGTTGTTGTCCCCAGTGTGTATCTGCAAAATAAAGAAAGGTAAAATCCTTGAAATGCATCTTAAAAAATCAGAATTATATGAAAGAGATAGAGCTTGTTAAAACAAGAAAACTGGGCCAAAATGGAGCTGCTTATGCTAAGCATCACATCACCAAACCAAGATTTAATTACAATTTCCACTTTCCCAGAAATGGAATCTCAAACCAGTCAGTCAGGACTCACCTGATTAGTATAAGTTAGGCAATCTGCCTGATGAGCCCCTGCCATCCCCTAAAGGAAAGTCACCTTGCAATAACCAACCCAGTTTTTTGCCTAGTATGACTTCCCATTCCTGCTCCCTTCTGCTTATAAAAGACTGTCATTTTGTACAGCTCCTGGAGCTCCTTTCTGTCTGCTAGACTGAATGCTGTCTGATTTTTGAATATACCTTAGTTTATCTTTTAACAATCTAAAACAGTGATTCAGAAAAGTTAAAAATAAAAGGACAGGCAGAACGTTATGAAGCAAATAGAAACAGAAAGGAGAAGTTATGGATCTAAATATCAGACAGATTAGAACTGAGGCTCAAAGGTACATAGAAAGGATAAGTTTCACCATGAAAATACAGCAGTCATGAATATCCATGCAACTTTGATTAAGTATAAATTACAGAAAATAAAACAAGTTAAAAGAAACAGATGAAAAATAGGACATTTTTATGTGATATCGTGAATTATAATAAATATATATTTGGTTTTCATTCCTGTTCCTGGCACAGAGCTCCTAAAACCCTTGGAATATCCTAAGAGATGAGAGCTATAAGGGTGTCTTTTGTTATGTTAATGAGGTGACTTTTGACGTGTCCCTTGGTAACCTAAGGATGGGAGCTAGTCACTGGAGAAACCAACCTTGTAATTAGAGGGTTGGAACTTTAAGTCCCAATCCCTACTCCCAGCCCCATCCCTTGGGAGGAGAGAGGGGCTAGAGATTCAATCAATGCCAATGGCCAGTGATTTAATCAGCCATGATAAAACTTTAGGGAAGTTCTAAAACCCAAAAAGGACAGGGTTTGGGGAGCTTCCAGGTTGGTGAACACCTGGCGGTGTTGGGTGATTGGTGTTCCTGGAGAGGGCATGGAAGCTCTGTGCTCTGGCCCCATCCCTTGCTCCAGGCATCTTTTCCATCTGGCTGTTCCTGAGTTATAACCTTTTATAAAAAACCGGTAATCTAGTAAGTAAAATGTTTTCTGAGTTCTATGAGATGCTCTAGCAAATTAATCAAACCCAAGGAAGAGGCCATGGGAACCTCTGATTTATAGGCAATGGGGCCAATGGGTCAGAAGTCCTGGGCTTGTGACTGGCATCTGAAGAGAGGGCGGGGTGGGTGGCAGCCTTGCAGGACTGAGGCCTTTACCTGTGAGACCTGATGCTGTCTCCAGATAGAAAGTGTCAGAACTGAGCTGAATTGCGGAGACACCTGCTGGTGCCCTGAGCATTGCTGGTGTTGATGTGAGGAGAAACCTTGCCCACACATTGGAATTGGGTGTTCAGAACCCCCTTTTACCTCATGCAGTGCAAGACAGAAAAATGAACAACAAAACTTAAACAACATTAACAATACAGTAGAATTTATGTACCTCATAATAGAGTACTCCTTTTTGTAGAATGCCAATGGAGCAGTCACAAAATTGACAGCATATTAGGGTGAAAAGAAAACATCAATAAATTCCAAAGTAAAAAAAAAAAAATCAAACTTCTTAATTTTCATGCAATAAAAATAGACATTAATGTTAAAAATCAGAAACTATAGAGGTCCTTCCTTCTGGGAGGTTAACAATTTTCAGTTGACTGTCTTGTAGATTACAGGGACAGAAGTGCCTCTAATTCCCAGGAACCAGGGAACCAGAATATTCCTTAACTCTATGAACTTTGGAACCATACTGCCTGGTTTTGAATTCCAGCTTCACTTTTACCAATTTGTGTGACCTTGGCAAATTACTTAAGTTCATGGTGACTCAATTTCCTCAACTGTAAAATGGGTATAGTAATTGCACCTACCTCATACGATTGGTATGATAGTTCTATGAGTTAATATTTATAAAGTGCTAAAATGGATGTCTAAAACACAATAAGCATTATTGAAGTGTTTGGGGATTTAAAAATGAATGAAATACACATAGCAATATATGAGAGTCAATTAAAATAGGACTGAGGAAAATTTACAGTCTTAAGTACTTTTATCAATAAAACTGAAAGAATGAAATTAACTGGCTTAAGCTCCTATCTCATAAAATTGGGGAAAAACAAACTGAAAAAAGTAGCAGGAAGAAATTAATAAAGACATATGCAGAAATTAATGAATTAGATAAACTATAAAATAAGTAGTAAATAAACAAAAAGTTCAGATAATATAGATACTTTTCTAAGAAAAATTAACTAAAACTTATTTCAGGAAAGTTAGAAAATCTAAGACATAAATTTCTATGTTAGAAATATTGAAAGACATCAAAAGATCTGCCTCTTCCAAAACCACCAGTACCAGATGATTCCACAAGGAAGTGTGTGGAACCTTTGAAGAGCAGGTATTTCCTAATCTAATTGGCATAGAAAAAAAAAAGAAAATTTAAAGTTTTAAAGTAAGCAAACTGTTGATAGAAAAAACTGACAAACTGCATAATGAGAAAAAAAAATAAAGTTATTTATTAGCTAAGACAATCTAACTACATTAGAAGAAGAATACAATGACTAAATGGGGTTTATTCCAAGAAGGCAATGATGGTTTAAAATAAGTAATATAACTTATCCTTTTAGTAGATCCAAGGAGAAAAGTTATGTGATCATTTTCACAGATGCTGACAGGTATTTCACAAAATTCAACAATTAGTCTTGTTTTAAACACATCCCCACATAGGAACCAACGGATACTTCCTTAAAATGAAAACATTTTTTCTATTTATATAGTTAGCTATTTTAGCCCCAAAGCCAGCATTTTACTTAAGAGCGAAATATCTGAGACATTTCTGCCAGTAATTAAGATAGTTATTATAGTTATTATTAGTTATTGTTAATCTCTTACTGTGCCTAATTTAGAAATAAATTTTATTATAGGTGTGTCTAGAAAAATACAAAGTATATCTATTCATGGTTTGGGGCATCCCCCATGCATAAGGAGGAACTACTGTCACCATTTAGTAAATATTGGGGTCAGTATTCAAATCCAGTTTACCAATTAATACTAATTCTGTACTTGTCTTATCTTCGCCATAGAAATGAACATTGTTTTTCAAAAAAGTCTAAGTCTGGATATTTTTTTTTTACTTCTCCATTGAACCTATCTCAATACCTTAAGCATTGTAGTCACTCAGTTCATATCTACTTGGATAAATGAAATAAGTGAAATTATCTAGCTGCAGTTTCTTATCTTTCTCTTTCCACTGCAAATATCTCTGGATCTTCACCTTTCAACATTTTTGTG